GTGGCCTTGGGCTGGACAATGTCCCTCTGTCTGGCAGGGGAGCCTCCCCCCAGCCCCCAGCCCCTATAATTCTCAGTATTCCTGTATGTATATGCTGCGTTTGTGTGTGTTGTAGGTGCCCATGCCCCCGCGAAGCTGCCAGCTGCTGGAAACACTGGGAAAGTGGCAGGCAGGGACTAGAGCCTGCGGCAGTGGCGTAGAGCAAATTGCATCAGATGCCAGCATGGAGTCACTTAAACAAGATAAGAATTAGTGCGGGGCCCTGATGAACTCCCCCTTGGCTGCCAACAGCGGTGTCAGGGAGAGAGCGAGAGCAGAGCCAGGGCTAATTTGATTTCTCAGCTCCGTTAGTGGCTGGCAAGTCACCTCCCGGGGAGTGCCGGCAGCTCGTGGCGCTCTCCCATTATTGAATCTGGGTAATGAAAATCACGGGCAGCGCCGCCACGGCGCCGGGGACTGTGCCCCACTCTGCCCCCTCTCCTCTGGCCTCCCGTGTCTGCAGCGGGCAGGATGCGGCTGAGGGGGCACGGACCACTCCAGTGGAGCCTCTGCTGCAGCGTCATTAACTCTGAGTTTTCTCCCTTGGGTTTTATGTCTTCATCTTTAGGAGATTTTAATGTAGTTCCTATCAGCCCTCCTGTTATTGGATATCTAATTAGCGTGATCTACTGTAGCCTCGTGTTACGTGTGCGCACAGGGGGCTCTTGCGGGACATTTTGTGGGATGGCTGATATCAATCGGCAGCGCCCGGATCAGATTTACTTTCCAAAATGGCATAATGGGATTTTATTAGCCCTGTAATCTGCTGCACAGTAATTGCTTTTCTGGGAATCAAAGTGCTCGGCGCCTGGGGCTTCCCACAGCTCAGCCCCACGTCCTGCCTGGGCTCCACTGCAGCCAGGCATGGCAGCCTCTCTGTGCTGGGTTGGAGACTCAGGGCTCTTTCCTAGAGCAGCCATGCTACAGGCAGGTTCTCTGGGTGCTGAGCCCAGAGCTGCAGCGATCTCAGGGACTGGGGAAAGCACAGGGGCACAGGCACAAGGTCCCCAACATGTGATGGGACAAGTGATGCTCCACACACCCCGTCTCACCCCAAGCCCCGGGTGTACAGCATTACACACCACGTCACCTTGGCAGCTCCCACACCACGGGACATGCTGGGGGCTGCCAGGGCTGTGGCACGAGGGTAGCTGGGCTCTGCACAGGACGGGGAGCTGCAGCCAGGCTGGGGACCATGGCAGGAAAAGGGAGGGAGGCCTCAGCTGACAGTACAGAGCAGGCAGGAGAGGGAAGCAGCCCCTCTCTGGGCTGCCAAGACTCGCCTTTCAGGGCGCGTTTGGAGCGTCAAAAGCAATAAAGCATCAGCGAGGAGCCCTGGCAGCGCGGCTTCCTGCCGGCCCCGGCCCCATCACACACCCGAGGCTGCCCATTACGGAGCCTCACGCTCCCCGAATTGCATGTCTGCTATGATTTAACGCTGTGAGACATGAAATAAACACCAAGGCAGGCAGGGCTGGCGGTGCGGGCATGGCCAGGCTCGTGGCAGCCCCTGCTCTGGTGCCAGGGGATGCAGGACTCTCCTGTGGGGCAGTGGTCCTCAGGGATGCTCGGGCTCGCTGCATCCCCTGGGCGCTGTGAGCAGTGGGATCTCTCCTCCAGCACTTGCCTTGTGCAGCTCCAAGATCAAAGCACACACCAAATGCCATGAGTGGCTGCTCAGTGTCATGCCCCTGGATAATTTAATTAAATTTGGGGATGCCAGTAGCTTTGCCCTGTGGGTGCAAACTGGGTGGCCTGCAGAGTGGCCAAAAATTGCCCATGGCAGGTACCAAGCCTGTTCTCACGCCAGTGAAGGAGCCCAATGCCTTTAAATCCCCCATGAAAGGGAGGGGAGCTCCTTTCTCTCAGTCCTCTCCTCCATTAGACACCCTTCAGGTGTTTGCAATATTCTGCCACTGTTTCACTACCATTAAAGCCAGGCAATAATATGTATGTGAAGGTATTTGGAACCCATTGCTGTTAATGAAGGAGATCTGGCTCATCCCTAGCAGGACGGCAGCCACACGTTGCAGGCTCGGCACCATCCAATCAGGCAGGAATTGCCTTGCTGAGAGCGGACCCAACTGGTGTTTCATCTTCTATGGCTGCCTTTTCCTTTCTGCTTTTGTTTTTCAAAGGAGGCCTGTGCAGAAGGCTCACTGCAGGGAGAGGGACAGTGGCTCCAGCGCTGTTGTGGCTGAGTGTCACCTCCGTGGGAGAGACCCAAGGCAGGTTTGTAGCAAGGACTGTACACCAGCTGCCTTGATGTAAAAACCTCGTGCCTGCCTTCCTCCCCTTTCACCCAGCTCTTCTCTGTGGCTGGAGTTTCTGGGAAATCTTTCCAATCAAGAACTACCCTGTGTTTTAACAAAACCATACTGGCAATTACAGCTGGGTATTTTTCCCTTCATTTTCTGGAGAAAATGAGAAAGACTTCAAGCAAATTGGAAAGGTTAATTTGGGCTGAAAAGGCTATTAGCTTGTGGTTTGAAACACCTGAAAAATCTTGTAGAAAAGTCTTCTCCCTCTTGTTTCTGGTGGAGTCCGACACATGGAGGTCTGTGGCAGTGCTGGAGGGGTTTGACAGTGCTGCACAGTGTGTGGGGATAGCCCTGGAAGGCATTGGGTTGGGAGACATTGTCTGTTCTGGGTTTTTTATTTTTAAAGCACCTACAGAGCAAATTGCTCCTTTTGCTAAGTCAGGACTGTATGGAGAGCTCTCAGGATGTGGAAAGAGTGGGGTGAAGGCATGTCTGCAGCTTGTTCTGTCTGAGAGTGTACAATCCCCCCTGTATTAAATTATCTTGGATGTAACGGTGCTGTGACTGCACTTGACGCTGCAAACAAATTGTTCTGCACCCTAATTAGCCACCACAGCATTAATCACGCTGCTAAACATTAAACACAGCCTAGACAAAACCTGGAGCTAAAAATACAAAGCTGAGATTATCTTTGCAACTGGGACATTCAGAATTTTTACAGTTTGTAGTTTAAGGTAGGGAAATCCTGGGGACCCCTCCCTGAGCAACTAAGCTGGGACAAAGCACCATTCCCTCAGCAGCACATGGGGATCCCAGAGCAAAAATTCCAGTGCCGAGGACCACCTCCCTATCTTTCACTATTAATAGCCTGGCAGGCTCCTGAAATGAGCAGAATTTATTTTGTTGCACTTAAACTTCACTGGGAGTCTTGTTTTTTCTTTGCATATCAAGGAAATTGGGTAACACTGCTGGCTTCCTCAGTTTTTCCTTATCAACCCTGCTGCTTCCTCCTCCTTGCCTTCTCACCTCCCCAGTTCCTCAGCCAGAGCATATTTGAGAACCGGGGAGCTGAGGCAATCCCAGAACAGGCCACACTGAGATTCCTCACACCTCTTCCAAAAAAAAAGGTGAGGGATGCTCTGTGACTGCCCACAGAAAATCCAGGTATGAGATGCCCACCCAGCTGGAAGAGGGCTTTTTCAGCAGGGAATTGGCAACAAGGGGATGGTGGTGGCACTGTCTCCAGCCACTGTCTCCCCTCCCTCCCACAGTGACACAGCTCCATTGGGAACATCAATGCCAGCAGTGCTTCGGAGCCCAGTGGGGGACAAACCCAGGCTAGTGACTGAAGTGACACATTCCTGATGATGTAGGATGGTGCCCTGGCAGCACCGGGACAGCACAGGCGCAGCTTGGACCAAAACGGGGAAAATGGTCTTTTCTCGTTATTGGTGTAATTAAAAGAAAATAATTCATTTTTATCTGTCCAGAGGGGCACAGCAAGGGCAGAGCGCTGGCTGCGGCCAGTGTGCCCAGCGGCTGGGGTGGGGACCAGGGAGGGCCCGAGGCCAGGGGATGCCCGGGGGCTGTTTGTGGGGGGACATACGGATGGACGCATGGATGGACACACGGACAGACACATGGCCAGACACACAGATGGACGCACGGACGGACACGCGGATGGACACACGCACACAGGGCCGGACACGCGGACACACGGATGGACGGACACACGGATGGACGGACACACGGACACAGGGTCGGACATGCGGATGGACACACGGACACGTGGATGGACACATGGCACAGGGCAGGCCACAGGGATGGACACACGGACACGCGGATGGACACACGGACCCCGGGCCGGGCACGCGGACGGACACACGGACCCGCCGGACGCTCGGACCCCGCGGCCCCGGCGGGCGGCGCGGCCGGAACCGGAGCGGCCGCGCGTGCGCTA